GGGGGGGGGGGGGGGGAGAGAGAGAGAGAGATAGTGGACCCCTCCCCCAATCTGGGATTAAAGTGGGGCCTGGCTGTGGACCCCCCCCCATGGATGCAAGTTTTCCCCTGCCCCCTCTTTGCATTTGGGGGTCTGTGTCCCATTCCCCCACCGCAGGGATTTGTGCACCCCCTGGGAGCTAGCTCCCCAGTGGTAGCCTCCGGAGCAATCCACTTCTCTCAATAGAATGGGGGTGATGACCCCCCCCGCCAAGTAGTAGCAACCAAATTCAGACCAAACCATGTACAACTGAGGGGGAAACTAGCTTGAAATCAGCCCCCCCCATCTCCACATTAGATGGTAGCTCCCCAAAACAAACGGCAGAACAGTGCATTTTCTGGAGGCATGCGGCCCTCCCATGCAGAATGAAAGGGTCCAGGTCCAGACACCACCAACCCCCAAATTCTGACCAATGGTAGCAGTTGGAATAGTCCATCTGCAAGGAGGAGGTGGATAACACCAAATATGGAAGCACATTGTCTCCCCACCCCATTTCTTGCAATGGTAGCAGCCACTAACTGGAACGGTCCAACTGCATGGAGTAAGGAGGGGGAAAAGTTTGTGTTGCCTCATCTTGGGATCCCCTTCTTGCCTGTGCAATGGTAGCAGCCACTACATGGAGCAGACCAACTCCCCCCCCCCTCCCCACCCCCACACACCCAAAGCTTTCTCCCGATTCTGTGCAATGGAAGCAGCAGACAGCTGGAATGGTCCATCTGCAAGGGGGAGGCTCCCCCCAAGCCAGGCTCTGCCTGTCAGACACTTATGGTGCGGAAGACGGTGAAGCCGGACAGGGCGGTGGTGATCAGGATCCCCGGGCACTGGGGGTGCCAGTGCAGCTCCTTGATGTCCGTCTCTCCCTGGTGCACGAAGAGCAACTGGGGGGGGATGGAGGCCAGGGCTGGGTCATCCTCGCTCTCCCCCTCCTGGTCCCGCTCCACCGCCAGGTCCCACTGGGTCACCTGGTCATCCGCACCCGCGGCCGCGAACACCCCCCCATCCGTGGGGTGCCACTCCACCGAGGTGATGGGCGCCGTGTGCTGCTTGAAGGTCGCCACGCTCGTGCCTGTCTGTGGGGGGAGAGGGCAGCGGTGAGGGGGGCTGCGGGTCGGGAGTGAGGGGCACTGGCAGAGCTGGGGGGAGCCCAGGGCCGGGCGAGCTGGGGGCTGCGGGTCGGGAGTGAGGGGCACCAGCAGAACTGCTGGAGCCCAGGGCCGGGCTAGCAGGGGCTGCAGGTCGGGAGTGAGGGGCACTGGCAGAGCTGTGGAGCCCAGGGCCGGGCTAGCAGGGGCTGCAGGTCGGGAGTGAGGGGCACTGGCA